GTCGTTAGAGGACCGATTAAAATTTCTTTTGTGTCGCTTGATATGGTTCGAAGAGGCCTCTAAAGTGATTATTGCACATTTTTCCATTTTCTTCTTCAAAATCTTCAAGGTCATCTTTACTTTTCAATGATTCACCTACAACTTTTTTACATCCACATTTTAGCAGATGTTGAGACAAATTGAACGAGTATAATAAAAAATATTTCCTTTTAAAAGCAACGATTACCGGAAAAATTCTCAGATTTATTTGAAAAAATTGTTTTGAACACTTGAAAGGAAGTAGCAGAAAGATTTGGTGTAAAATCATAAGAGAGCTGTTGCTTTAACTCTTAAACTAGTCACAATTAAAGATTACCTATACGTTAACAAATTTTAAAGGTGAAAATTATAAAATTTATTTATCATTCGAAACATTACTGAAATTTTCTAAAAGATACATAAACATACTCGATGACCGGGGTACTGCAACTTTTGCATTTTAAATCTGTCTTTGGAAGAGAGCATATTATTCTTATATTTCTCCATTTAAGTTCAAGTCACCATTTAAACACGGTTAATAGGGCTTTAAGGCTTTAAGGATTGTTTCGTATAACGTAGAACTTCTTTACAAAGAAAATATTAATATTAATCGTGTAATTCAAATTCTAACGTGTACCTACCCTCTACATTGGACAAAATTTTACATTTCGAGGAATATTTCCAGACTTTTATTTTGCAATCTCTTGGAAATTCTTTTAACATTGCATGTTAAATTTTCATATATTTTTCATATTTTAGGCTCAGCTGTTTATTTCTTTGTTGCCATTTATACCTACATATAAATGGCCACGAATCAGTCAGTCCTTGTTAGATTTTAATATACTTTATAAAAATATATTTTCCACATTTTACACTCTACCATTTACTTTTTACCATTTTTTCTTATAAATGGCCCTGATAATTAATTAGCCCTCGATAATGTACACGCACCACTGTTAAACCATTTGACATTCGAAGAAGTGGTGAAACACTGCAATTTCTCTTTTTGCCATTTTTACCTTAAAATGGTCCTAATAATTAATCAGCCCTCGATAATGTACACGCACCACTGTTAAACCATTTGACATTCGAAGAAGTGGTGAAACTCTGCTATTTATTTTTTGCCATTTTTACCTACAAACGGCCTTGAATTAATCAACCCCAGATAATACATAGGTATGCATCATTGTTAAACCGTTTGACGTTCCAAGGAGGGCTGAAGGAAAACGAGGACGAACGGCAAGATCACTGTGAATTCGGGAAACGCGTTAACGTGTTCGCGATCCTATGTTGTGGACTGATTAACTCCAGAAGCACTCCTTTGATCTCGTCACGGTGTGCTTGAGGAAATTAGAAACACTCCGCGAATTTACGTGAGAGCCAGTTTCACGGCATACCGTACGGTATGTATGTATATACCTGTGCTGGATCCCGTGCACAGAATCGTTCGCGGCAACGAAGCCGATTCATGGGTTCGAGGGTGCAACCGGTTCAGATCAAACGCGAACAGAGTTAATGACGCCATCAAGGAGAAACTTTCTCCACAAGCTATGCACTGTGCGCCGCGGAAATTCGCGTGGATTCAATTTTCGAGATATGCATGTGCGAGGGGTGTTGTACAACGGGGGAAAACGCGAACATATAGGACAATCCTTAATCTGTCGGTGTCACTTTCCTACACTGGTTATGTTTCTCCCTTATTTTTTTTTTTTTTCAAAGGAACATTTAGACGTTTACCAATCACGGAATTTTCACAACCACGTCTTTTTCATATACTGACCGTGAAATTGAACAGATGCAGCCATTTGAGTGTACAATAGGCTTCGAGTCTTTTGATGGCGATGAACAATGGGTGGTATACAATAGGCGATAATCCTTTGAAGATGATGAACCCTTTGAGAACGATGCATTCAGAAAAAAAAACCATCAACGCACCGATAAACATATATTTTTGAGCAACAAAAACAGTAGTCGTGAACTCATATGTACAGGGTGGAACAATGAGAATTATCCACCTTGATGAGCTCCGGAACGTAAGAGAACAATTTTTCAAATGAAAGTCGTTTGCTATAAAAAAGGGACCACTATGTTAGGGTCATAATGATTTTCTTAATGGTCAGAGTCTCGTTGAAGAAATGTAAAGGTCATTCCTGTTGTTTTTTATTCACCTGCTAAGTGAATGTAAAATAAACACAACATCAGTCAAGATCATGAATGGTTAGGTTAGGCTACTTTGATGACAGAATTTATTATGGCACATGTGCCTCTGTGACATTGACTGACCTTGCGTTGTAGGTCTACTAAAGATTTCATTACTTGCAGTTTTAAGGAAAGAATTTTTTATAAAATATTATAGAATCACATTGTAAGTATAGTATTGATCACGTATAGCCATATTTATTATATATTCGTTATACATGAATTTTCAACGAATTTAAAAACTCGTAATAAATAGATCTAATAATACGAAGAGGGCCTCTTTGAACTATATTATACGACGCAACAAAAAATTCAATCGATCTACCAATAAACAGAATTATTTAAGGTTAGGTTAGGTAATCACGATACTCGGCTCACCCTGTATTTTTGAGGAAAGTATAACTTCGATGTGATTTAGTTTCAGAAAAGAATTAAAGTAGTGACCTAGTTATATCATATATTGTACAAGTAATCAGTATCTCGAAAATGTACTTAAGCAGTCTTCCATCTGCAAAGGGTTAATACGAAGTCGCGTAATATGAAATGTCGGACTCAAATGTGACGTTCGTCTTGATTTGCGCTTAATATGAACCTATACACTCCTCAACAGTAATTTAACAAGAATGGTACAATTTTAAGTTAACACGAACAAATTTGGAACTTTTCAATACTCGATTAATCATTTAAGTGATCAATCTGTGATCGAATAAAAATCCTATGATGCAATCTGTATCTTGAAGATTATCGTTTGATTGTTTGCAACAACAACAAATATTAAAATTCATTCGTAAATCGAGTGAAGGAAAAATGGCGAGCAATCACTGTGTCGCGAGAAATCATAAAGAAATTTTGGTCAGAAATCTGAGAAATATTTAAAAACCTCAGCTTAGGGCTGAAAAAATGTTGCTTTTCCTGAGTTATAATTTTCCTTTGAATTTAGGACTCGCTGGAGTCTGTTGCATAAGGTGATTCTAGGAGATGAGCTCGGCTATAGATCTTTGTACGCGAAGGTAGAGAAAATTGGAAAATGTTGAGAGGAGGATTTAAAGGGAAATTTTGCGCTGCGTACTGAATTCCGCACTTCTTATTTTTTACTTTTTCAGAAAATCTACCGATACATCTGCGAGAAGTAGATACCTTTTTAAGAATACATGTATTGAAAAGGGTTTTTCTAGTGCGTGTATTTAAATACGCACAGAAAAATTCCGTAACTGCAAAAACATTTTGTTTAAAAAATAAATTACTACAAACATTGATCGCAAGATATTACTGCAATCTCTGAAATGTTATTGCATTTTGTAAAAAAATGTTTCCCAAAAGTTTATCGAAGTTTTTAAAATTCCAAATTCGTAGGAAAT